TATGATTCTGAAGGTGTTGGTGGATACTTGAATGGGAGCTAGCCCGGTACGTCTCAAGAATTCGCACATGAGGGGCTGCATCGGGAAGCGCAACCCTCCCTCGACCATGCCTAATATGGTGAAGGGGCAAGATTCTAATCTACCCCACGGATTTATGCCCTCTTCACCGAGCTCCAAGTATACGTCGGCGGGGACACTGTACTCTTCGCGGAACGCGGCAAGGGCGCCCGACGTGTCTACAAGGAAGCAGTAGCGCCCCATGAAGGACTAACTTGTTCAGCTCGACAGAATTGGTTTGATTAAATTTTGCACAGCGGTTGCTCGGTCTTTGAGAGCCCTTATGTTGGTGTCTGGTCCCATAGGACTCTGCAGTTAAAAGCCAAGTGTAAGTGATAGCGCGGTTGCGCAAACTAGCTTGACTTTAGCCCGATCACTTCGGGCGCAACAGCACTTCGGCCTAATTGGGTGAACTCAACAGCTTGGTCGCTCAAAGTGGACCAGATATTAGCCCGGTCGAGCAGCCCAGCGCTTTCTTAACTCGACTTTCACCTAAGTTCTATAAACTAGGAACTTGCTCGGTTCACTTATGATTTTGGATCAAGCGATGATTCATAGCCCGGTCAGTCCCAGATCCTCATAAGTTCATCACAGAAAATGATGAACAGTGTCAAGGGCGAAGGGGCAAAAACAGCGTTTTGTGATCACACCCTAGACTAACTTCATTCGAAGCCCTAAAACCTACTGTTATCATGCCTTAGACTCAACTATGGTAGTCACAATTCAAGCACACAAGAAAAGCATGAATAACATATGAAGAATAGTGAAGGGTTGAAAACTTACAGGTTAAGGCACGGATTGTGGTTCGAATCCGTGAGACGGGGACCCCGCGATGGTGACGGAGCAGAATAGGCTTGCGGGAATGCTCTAATCTCAGTAGAGTGAGTGAGAGACGAAGGCTGGGTGCTATGGATCGCTGGATCGCTCGAGAAGAAGATGAACAGTGGGGGAAGAAACACGAAGGGGCAAGTGACATACATATAAAGGAAGAAGAGGCGCCAAAAATTCGAATTCGAGGTGACGGCTGGGTTGGATGCACAAGGCTAATGAGCAGAGCACACGTGTCTGTGACAAGACCGGTGTTAGTACTAAAGAGACAGGCAGAAAAGTCAGAATATCGACCGAGCAAGTAATGTAGCCGAGCAAGGGAGTTAGCACGGCGAATAAGTTGAAGATAACAATCGAGCAGATTAATTATCTTGGCTGGAGAAGGTAATCCCGGTCACGCTGGCGCGGACGAAATTAAGGGGCAATTGAGAGGGAGATTTCATAAATTGTTATTGGGCCGAGATAATGACCGAGCTAAGTTGGGCCAAACAAGTTTGGGTTGAGCTGAGTTGGGCCAAGCAAGTGGGAGTGCGCTTGGTCAAGGCCTTAGTCTGATTTAGCCAGGGTAACATCGGGCTGTCAGCCCGGTTAACTTTATTTGCTCATTGAGTTAGACGGGTTAGGTCTTCTGCAGATTAGTTCGACCGAGCAGGAGCTAGGTCATAACTGAGGACGACTAAGCCGCAGTGAGATTCTTTAATGAAACCGGACAATTAGCACGGTCGTGGTGTGACAATGTGGCGCTGAGCTAGGCGTAGCTCAGTTTAGAGCATTGCACATCTCAGAAGTAACATGGTCGTGGAGTGATGGAGTGGCGCTAAGTTGTTCGTTCGCGCTAATGCTATTTGGCGGTTTTGTTAGGTGGTGTATAGTTGTATTTGCGTTGACACGTTGGAAAATGGGAGAGGAGAGCAGGTCCACGCGTCCAAAGGTGAATAGACGCAAAGGCGCGCGCAGAAGGTATATAAATGGTGCTGCACCCCCATACTCAGGTCTATGACATCTTATGATCCCTATGTGCTAACTTGATCGTCAAAGGGTTTTCCGACAGTGCACTGCCGGGTAGCTCACCATCATTGTTTTCTCAAGTCAATCGGAGTGAAATGCAACTTGGATACAAAGAGTACGGACAACAATGGATATTTGTTCCCCATACACATACCATGAATTTCGATGACCACTATTATGCGATAGTCACCATCCATAATCACCACTTTTGTTGTCACTACCGATAAATCACTACCATCCCATCTAATCATTTAAATTTTATGCCTCAATTCTTTAAATTATACATAAAAATTAAATTTCAACTTCTTTAAAGTAGTACTCTTGGTGCTAAAAGTAAACCCGTATAAGATGGACTCCACTTTGTCAACCCAAGCATTATTGTAGGTGTTTTTGATTTGTGTTTTGAGATAATTTTTTTAAAAAAAATTTAGAGAGAGTTTAAATTTTTTTTGGTTTGTTTAGTTGTATATTTTGAAAAGGATTCCCCTCCAATCCAATCACGGATTTGAGGGTACTATTGAGTCCGTAGGGGCCTGTAGACACCCCATTTTTGACCGACCTTAAGACTCAGACGTCACCGATTGAGCGCTTGGTGATGTTGCATAATGTGCTCGTTCAGATTGATCGTTATGTCATCAAATTAGTTTTGTATGAAAAGAAATGGACGGTGAAAAATAATCGACTTACAAAAATCTAATTTGATCACATAGTTATCGATATCCGATCAAAGTGATTTTTTACAGACATATAGTACTCGACAAGTTCTACACATTGAACGATTCAGATTATCAAAATGAGACCCGTGATGGGCCCAATAATATCCTCCAGTTCGATCACGGACTGAAGGGAAGCTATTCCCTTTTGAAAGTAGTTTGGAGTTTGAGAGTTTAGAATGATTTGATATTTTGTTATAGATGAGTAAATGTGTGTAAGAGAAAAAGTGATTGAAAATGAAAAAACAGAGAAAAAAGTGATTGATTGATGTGTAGGGGAGAAAAAATAATTTTAAATTTTTTTTTCAAAAAGTTTGAACCAAACAAAATTTTGAAACTTAAAGGTTAGCTCAGGGCACAAAACTATTAGCAGCAAGTAAAATTTGTGTTGGGTGCAAATGTAACTTCTCACAATTATCACATTCTTATAACAATTTAATTATTTAAAAAAATGGAGAGAGAAAAAAAAGACTAACTAATTCATCTTAGGATTCGTTTGGGATGTGGTTTAACTTTTTGACTATTTTAGCATGGGGTTAAAAAGTCTCTTTTGAAAAAAGTCTCGTTTGAGAAGTGATTTTAGTTTTTTTGTGAGAGAAAGAATATAATGATTATACATTGAATGTAATATTTTGTCTCATTAAAATAAAAAACCTATTTTATTTTTTTTAACTATTTTAACTAAAAAAAATCCAAACCCTCCCTTTCCAAACGGGCTCTTATTATCACTACCCCTCACGGCCTCTCCCACTGGCCCATAGTCATTTACACTCCTGTTGTCAAAAATGGGCTCAATAGTCCAACAAATAAGAAGTTAAGGAGAGAAATAAAAGAGAGGATCCTAATCCCTCCACATACCACCATCTCTAATCCTCTTGCATGCCCATACTCACTCATAAAGGGGAAGGTAGTTGACATGCCCACATCAATGGCGATGATGACAGGTTGGTAACGTAATGTATTCTGTAGTTTAATTTTTTCTAAGAGGAAAGAGATTTTTAATTTTTGTTTCTAATTTTACAAAATAAAATAAAACTTAGTAAAAATTAAAAAGTTTATCAATTAAAAATTAATTAATTTAAGATTTGATCAGCCTAATCCAACTTCATGGCTTGTTTAGAAATTGTATTTTTACAAAACTAAAAAAATATAAAAATAAAGCAATTAAATCAAATTGTATTTCCATATAATAGAAAACCGTAGAAGTTCTAGAGCGTACTGTTAGGCTCGTGGAGCCTACCATGAGTCCCCGATAATCCGAACTGATTAATATATAGAGTTCGTTGAATATGTCATGCTTACAAAAAATTACGTTGATCGGATATTGGTTGCCCTTGACCAGAACATATTTTTGTTAACATTTTTAAAAAAAAAATCATATTTACTATTGACAAAAATGTACTCTGATCAAGTGCCTACTAATATTTGATCAATGTGATTTTTTGCAGGGATGAAATACTCAACGAATTTTATACATCAAACGATTCGAATTATAAAAATAAGATCCGTAATAAATCTTATAGATCCAACAATGTATTCTAATAAATGGGGAGAAGCCTCTCTCTATTTTAAATTAGAAGAATTGAAGATTGTGATACAGTGGAGTAGTATCAGTTGGTGGAGGAATCTCTTATCTCCCTCCAAGTCTCAAAGTTGATAAAGAAACTTCTGTCTAGAGCTTCAAACCAAAAAAGTTCTTAATAATTCTAATAAATTTTGTAGCTAAAAAGTCCAAGTGAGTGCGATGGTATAAATCTCACTTTTTGAATTTCTTTCTGTAATCAATGTTTATGGGTCCCCTTAATTGTCTCTTCCACCAAATTATCATCATCATGCCCTGTCTATTGCTGAGCGTCGAAGCTATCTCCTAATTATGTTCAAGTTCCCACTCTACTCTCATCACACAGTCACAATTTTTATTTTTTATTTGTTTGTTATATTAACAATTATCTGAAAAATTAATTATTTATTTTTTTAGTGAAATTAATTAATTATTTAAAAAAATAAATTTTCTGAAATTGTATTTAAAAGTATATATTAATTAATATTCTACAACAAAAAATATATTTTACAATAACAGAAACAATATGAACTAAACCCAAAAATTTGACAGTTGAAAAATTGAGCTCAATAACATAAAACAAACCGAGTCCACTCAGTGAGTTCCAAGGTCCATCATGTAGAAGATTTTTTTTGGGTGAATGATACGTGAAACCTAAGGAAGTCGACAGTGAGAGAATGACAGAGTTGCCCTCTCTCGTCAGCTTTAATCTCAAATCTCAACGGGCAATAATGGGGGCATTTCTGTTATTTCAACAGCGAAAGCAACAACAATGGAGAGATGCTGCTACATCACCATCACCTCACTCCTACCACTACACTCCACCAAGTCACCACTAGCTCATTACATTACAGTGCATCCATTGTGCTCTACACTCTTCATTGACGCCTATCTTATCCCACTCTTCCTTTGCTTCTACTCTCTCTCTCTCTCTCTCTCTAGAATTCTCTCTCATCTGGTTCTTGTTCAAGGACAATACATAAGGGGGGGTGGGGTTGGTTTGTTTTCCGCCATTTTGTCGGTTATTTTTCTTGGAAAGTTAGTACCCATTTGAGAAAAAGCTGGAATGGAAGGTGGGTCGAGTTCGAAAGCCCCAGAGAAGGCGAAATCACAAAAGGGTCTGAAGCTTGGTTCGGTGCTTCCCAAGCTAGATCCATTTGTACCACGAAAAGGTCACGATCCGAGGGAGTTGAAATCTTGGGCCAAAAGGACTGGTTTTGTCTCTAATTTCTCTGGAGAGAGTGGTACTAGTGTAAGCCAGAGGGGTCAGAATGACAAGATTGACAGTACCGAGTTTGATTTGGAGAGAGGTCTTGATAAAAACGGGTCGTCCTCCCCAAAGATCGAAATTGATCCAGTTCTGGGGCGGACTAGGAATAGAGGAATTGAAATCGAACCAGTTTTGGGGTCTGGGCATGGATTGCACAAAAATGGAAGTGATGGTGCTTTGGGGTTGAGAGGCGAGAATCAGAGGAGGAGACTTGGTGAGGAGCCTGGTTTGGAGGCTAAAGATGAAGAGAGAATGGTTGGTTTGTCCACGCCAATGGGGTTGTAAATGATAATGGGCATCAAGTTCCGGCTACTACTACTACTAATGTGGCTGAGCCAAAGAAAGACAGTGGAATTGTGGAAAGTGATGTGGGAATTGAAGTGTACCCAGAAGGTGAAGAACCTGGTCATGGAGGATGGAGTTCGTCGTCTACAATGAAGTTTAGGCCGAGAGAAAATCCGGGTTTAGGTTAGTATGAATTTCTTCCTGTGAATTCATTGATTGGTTTCTTAATAGTTCCTTCATTTGATCTTATATTTTCTTCAATGTCAGCGATTTTACGAATTATTGTTAATGTGTTTGGCACAAAGGGAGAAATTGTTAAGTTATGATGTAGTTGAGTAATGAAGTAGAATAGGGAAATTTGTAAATTAACATAACAAGACAGCATATAAATTGTTAATTGATAAAAATATTATTAACTCAAACAATTGAGTAATTGGATTTTTTTTGTGGCCAAGATTGTAGGATATTAGTTTGTTAGTAAAGTTAGATACAATTTACAACTAAAGGGGTCACTGCTACTCCATCAACTCAAACTCTCTGACCTTCCCCTCACTGCACCCTAAGGTGTGGCTACAAGACCATTGGGCCAAACCGGTCTCTGAGTAATTGGATCTTGGTAGAGCTGAACATAGTGAAAATGGTTGCTCGATAATGCGATTGGCGAGCTGTATTACTTTTCTTCTTTCATCTTTTGTTTTGCAAGTATTTCATATCCAAGAACTACTGAAGGACAACATTTTAAGAAGTGACATTATTGTTATATTATGTAAAAATTCGTAAAATTTGTGACATAAGATGCTCGTACTATAGGCATATACATGCACACTCAGAATCAAGAAAGAAAAGGAAAATATAGAAGAAATGAACCTCATTAAACTTGTAACAAAAATTGTACCTCATTGAAATTCGCTTCAGGGGAGCTCGGTCTCAACAAAGGCATATGGTAGACACTCTTCCTGAAAAATGTCAATCTTCCATTCCTGTGAGCCTCTCTAAGATTATTCTTTATTCCTTGCCCTCTGGGGGTTCAGAAATAACCTATTCTTGATTGAGTTGGGCATTAATAAGCCTGGTTTATTTTCAAATTTAATTCCTGTTTAGAAAGAAAAAAAAGAAAAAAGAAGTCCAATTGGAAGTTCTTTTTGACAACAATCCTAACACTGAACATGGCTGGACAAGTTTTAAAGAGCTTGACATAAGCTATTTATATAATATGAATGTAAAACCCTATTAGCTTATATTGCTTTAACTTTTATTGCTGCACCTAAGGTTGCCAAATGCCTGTCTAAAGATCAAACATTATGATGTTTATTCTAAAACTTTTTTTTTTTTTCCCCGGGTTGAAGTTCTCTGGTTTCTTAATTTTGTTGAAGTTCTAATTTGCCTCTGATCTGTCATTAATTTACTGGTGATTCTTCTGGTTTCTCAAACTGCAGTACCACTTATATATTACAGTTTGCAGCACTATTTATCATTGGCTGGTTCCCTTATTTTCATCCCCTTGATCATTGTACCTGCCATGGGAGGTACTGATGTAAGCATCTGTTCTTAATTCTCTCTCTTTGAGTGCAATTTGGGTTAAGAGACAACACTTTGTTTAGCTATCTGTATAATCAAGTTTCTTTCTTTTCCATATGATGATATTGACAGAAGGACACTGCTACTGTAATTTCCACAATGCTGTTGGTGTCTGGCATTACCACAATACTGCACTCATACTTTGGTACACGGCTTCCGCTTGTTCAGGGGAGTTCATTTGTGTATTTGGCACCAGCATTAGTCATCATGAACTCTGAGGAGTTTCGAAATCTTACTGAGCATGTAAGTTCACCATATTCAATAGTTTCATTTACTTGGTTTTGTTACTAGTGCCTTACACATAAAGGAATTGGGGAGAAAAATTGCAGGATATTTGAAGTGTAATTACTTCGGCAGAAAGCTCAGTAATTTCTGTATTTTAGAGAAGAAGAAGAAAAAAAAAAAAAAAAAAAAAAACAAGTGAAAGAAAGTGAGTACTGCTAAATTTGGATGAGACTTGCAATTAATATACTTGTCCCAAGATCTCTTCTGTTGAGCGAGCTTGCTCTTTTGCACATTCAAGTTTCTTGGGGTATAAGTAGCACCCCAAATGTTATTTATGAATTTTTGTCCACTATTTTATTTTTTTCCATAGAACTTATTTGTAGAAACAGTTACTGATGCATGTTCGGTAAAGTGCAGAAATTTAGGCACATAATGAGGGAACTACAAGGGGCTATAATTGTCGGTTCAATTTTCCACAGCATCTTGGGATTTAGTGGTTTAATGTCTCTTTTTGTAAGGTAACTAAAGGGATTGCATGTTTTTTTATCTTTCTTTGCAAAGTTGATCCATTTCGTGGGAATAACACGCCCTTTTGCTTGTAAATCTTTCTGTCCTGATGCTATTCTGACTATAATTACCTTTCTCTTTATATATATATATATATAATTATAATGCTGTAAAAGAACCCTAATTTACTAGAAATTCTTCTCTGAACTTCATTTAAGCTGCACTTTTGTATATTTGTATGGGTTCAAGTGGTTAGCTAGCTCTGTCAGGATATATATGAAAATATGGTTATGAAAAATGGAAATTTAATTAGGAAATATGTGTTCTTTTAAATCATCGAGTTTGTTCTTGATAGGGGTGTTTGCAGACTAGATTGGTCCAATTTCAGGACGGACCTGGGAGCAAACCAGTCTAGAAAATTGGGAACTGGAACTGGACTGTTGAAGCTGTGTAACCAAACCGACACTGAATCATAGTAAATTGGTTTGGTTCTATTGTTCCAGGCTATTATATTCTAGAAAATCCTAATGAAGACCAATTAATTGCAACAGAACAGGACAACAACTTGAACTTAATTGATTGCAGCAAAAATATTGGTTATATGAATTTAGGATAATAGTACTTGTTAAAAAAGTATAAATTCAAGGTCATATATATGTGTGTGTGTCTTTACAAAAATATTGGTTATGTAAATTTCTGAATATGAGATTTTCAGAATCGCTCAGTTATTTATTTGAGCACACAGTCATGATTAACATAAGCAATGTTTACATAATGGTGATAATGAATTTTTAAGGTTGTTATTACAGCTCACGGCAAGATAATTGTATATTGTGGTGTGTCTAGCTGCAGGAGGATACCTGTGTTTGTGACGTTTCTGCCAATTGTCTAAGTGGAGGAGAAATAATTAAAAAATAGGACAAGCCATGTGGCTTGTCTGATACATATCCCAGGCCCCGGCCTGTCGGAGGCATGTCAGTGTACGACACATGTCAGACATTGCTACAACAAATAAGTTGAAGTGTCCATGTTTCATAGGCACATGCATTTATGTTCTCAGATGTGGGGTTGGATGGACACCTACTCTGAGTCGATCTTTCTTATCTGGTTGGTGTTGTATTGCAGGTTGATAAACCCGGTTGTGGTTGCACCCACAGTTGCTGCAGTGGGCTTAGCATTTTTCAGCTATGGTTTTCCTCAAGCTGGTAGTTGTGTGGAAATCAGCCTTCCCCAGATACTATTGGTTCTTATTTTCACCTTAGTAAGCAACCTCTTAAACATTTCAAATGTGGTTTTAGTTAAATGTTTAATAGGCATGGGTATAAGATAGTATTTGTTAGTCCTATGAAGAGTTAGCCTGTTCTAGTCCAAACTACTTACCAACATTACACTTTTTTCTTTTTTTGTTAGTACCTTCGAGGGATATCTATTTCTGGACACCGAATATTTCAAATTTATGCGGTATGTATTTTAGCTTTCAATTTGTTGGTTCTTTACAATTCACTTTTCTTTTTCCTTTCTATTCTTTCCTGCATGGTTCACAAGATAATGAAGTTACTGCTGAAACTCTCCCCATCCCACTGTATCCTATATTTTTACCCCCTCATCAAGATTATAGCAACTTCAAACGGACTACTATCTGTATATGGAAAATTTTGAATTTGCACATATGCTTTGGTTCCATTACCCACCAGCAAAAAAATTATAATTCTCTTTCACCAGAAAAATATGCATAGGGTAGTCCTCCTTGTCATCAAGCCTTTTATCCTCCCTGTCAAGTGATACTACCTACCCAGTGAAATGGATTAACGAAAATTATTGGGTTCCCTATACGATCACAAACTTCCCACTTGTTGGAAATTCTCAAGATCTAGCCAAAGCTATTCTCAGTTGCCTAAATCTGCAAGAATTTATCAATCTGGCACAGCTTCCCTGAAACTATGAAGGTTTGCAATTGTAAAATATCCCTGTAAACATTTCTTGGCATATAATGAGTCATGTTCTCAGTCCTTTCTTGAGAATCAATTTAAACAAACTGGGAGTCGTCTTCATCAAAAGGTTCATAAACTTTCTTACCCCCAGTAATTAATCAAAGCTCTGTCACCAATCTTGAAATCTCCCAAAACATAAAACCAATGCGTTTTTAAGAAGCGATTCACACAACCACTCACCCCTTTGCCCTGAAACCCACAATATCCACCTCCCCCCAAGTGATATTGTCATTGTTTCCATTAAGTCACTGCTTTCAGTATCAGAATATATCTAGAGATTTTTTTTTTATTTTATTTTTCTTAATCTTGTTTGATAAATATAGATACTATTCTCTATTCAGTCTTGCCAACATTATGAAGCTTTGCAGGTCCCCTTGAGTGTTATTATTATATGGGCATATGCATTCTTCTTGACAGCTGGTGGGGCATACAATTACAAGGGCTGCAGTCCCGACATACCCAGTTCCAACATCTTAATTGATGCTTGCAGAAAGCATGCATATACGATGAAGCATTGTAGGACCGATGTTTCGAATGCCATGAGAACTGCGGCATGGGTCAGAATCCCATATCCTATGCAGTGGGGTGCCCCCATCTTCCGTTTGAGGACTTCATTTATCATGATCATTGTGTCACTGGTTGCATCGGTTGATTCGGTGAGTAATATATATAGTAGCATGGACCAAAAATACAAGAAAATGCCGTCCCGTCAAATTTACACCTCCTCTACGGTCTCATTGTTCTTGCCTATAAAGCACTAACACTTTAAAACAAGGGACATTGTTCTTGCCTATAAAGCACTAACACTTTAAAACAAGGGACGTAGTGTGTCGGACATGGGGACACATACTGGACACAGTGGTGACATGCCACACATACCAGATACGGCAGGGACATGCCATGTGGCATGTCACTTTATTTAATTAATTAATTTTCAGGAGACACGCCAACTAATTTCTTTTCCCTCTTCTTTAGGCCCTGGTTGTTTCATTGGATATAAAATGGAGGATATAATATGATGTAGGATTTAATCAGGATATATAATGAATAGGATATATGTATTGAATAATATATCCCCCAATTCATATCTGTTGACTTGATATATAAAAGTGGATATATATTATCCATATTTGTTTTACAATATATATTGTGGGATATAAACAAGTAATTTCCAAGATTGCCCTCATAATATATTTTAAATACCCATATTGGAACTAATGCAAATAAACAAATTAAAAAGTCATATTATTTTTTATTGGAACAAATTAAAGATTCATATTAAATTCAATAATTTTTCCAAACAAAAAAGAAATTATATTATATTAATGTCAACTTGATAATGATAAATAAATAAATAAAAGTTATATTATATTAAATTCAATAATTATATTATATTAAATTCAAAAATTATATTAAATTAAATTAAATTTAATAATATTATATTATATTAAATTCAATAATATTTATATTATATTAAATTCAATAATTATATTATATTAAATTCAAAAATTATATTATATTATATTAAATTATATTATATTAGATAGACGAGGGTAAATTGGACTTTTTAAATCATATCCCAACTTCGGGGATATGATATAATGGGGAGATGGTGGTATTGTATATTCTTCAATTTTGGGGGATATACAATCCCATAGTTTATTATATCCTTTTTAAAAAAAATTGAAAACATGGGATATGTGGACCCCACAATATATAATATCAAATCCTACTTTTTAAATCCTGGAATCAAACAGGGCTTTAGTTCTTTTAATGGATGTTGGATGTTGAATGTTTATTATATTTTTTTTTATATGTAAATAATTAATAAACATAAACAATACGAGTTAACTTAAAAGTGGAGTTTTTTTTTTTTATTTTTAATATTGAATTAGTTTTAGTTTTTGTTAATTTTGATTATTTGTGGATGTAATATTAATCTATATAGCAAATAAATTATTTTTTATAGTCGTGTCTTCTTGTGGATGTAATATTAATCTATATAGCAAATAAATTATTTTTTATAGTCGTGTCTTCACTGTGTGTTTGTCCCCATTCTTTTGAAATCACCATGTCCCATGTCCACTTATGTGTTCGTGTCCGTACTTCTTAGATTTATGCAAATGGCCAGAATTCCTCATGGCACAAAATAATGACAATAGGGAGGAGCATTTCCTAAGAAGCGTAAACACTTCTAAGAAAGTGGCAATGTCGTGTTGGACACATTGTCAGCCACTGACACAAAACAACAATCGTCAGACACTTTCCGACACTTGTCCTACGTACGTCCAAACGTGTTATGCTATTTTTAAAAATTTCGCAGATATGAACACACTTCGGACACTTGGGGTTTACATGTGTCTATCACTTAGACACACAAACATTTTACTAGTTTGAATAAAAAACTTAGAATCTAATGATAAAAAGAAAAGCACTATAAATTTATATCTATTCTCTTCCTTTAGACTTTAAAATTTCTTATCTTTGAATTGAATATTCATATATAACATATAATAATTCTTTATCCTTATATATGTCATACGGTAAATATATAAAATTATATATTTTTTACATGCTCCCCACGTGTTATATCCTACAAGTTTTGAAAATTTCCATGTTGTTGGTGTGTTTGTGTCCATGTTTCTTAGGCACAAATTATGAGAATTAACGGGCAAGAAAGTTACTTTGCACCTCCTGTCAAAATATGGAACACCCTTCTAACATAAGGGTGTTTCTTGTGGTTGACAAAGTTAAACAGAGGCAAGTGGTTTCTGGGATGTTGAAACAACCAATTAACCGTGTTTAGACCAGGGCACTGAATGAAGGTCAATTATCTATTTATTATTTTTTAAAAAGGAAAATCTGACAAAAATGTTGCACCTTATCAGGTTGGGACCTATCACACTACATCCATGCGAATTAATTCAAAAGCTCCTACCCCAGGTATTGTCAGTAGAGGAATTGGAATGGAAGGTTTCTGCAGTGCACTGGCTGGACTTTGGGGCACAGGTACTGGTTCAACAACCTTGACTGAAAATGTGCACACCATCAATGTAACAAAAGTAGCAAGTCGAAGGGTCGTGGAAATCGGAGCAGCTTTCTTGATCTTCTTCTCATTCATAGGTAATAGCAATTTGGATAATCAGACACAAAATATGATTTGTAGAAATTTAATGTATAAAAAGAAATGATTGTATTATTGATTGATATTTTGATGTATTACAAGATTGATTAATTACAATTCCTATACAATCTATATATAGAAGAAAATGTGGTAGTAGGTGTAGTGGAGGTGATAGTGGGTTAGGTGAAGTGGAGTGTGTGGTGAAGTGGAGGTAGGTGAAGTGGAGTGTGTAGTGGAGTAGGTGAAGGTAAAGAAATCAGACACAAAATATGATTGAGTCTTGCACTTCTATGAGTGCAGATTGATTTATTGTGTTTTCATGCAGAATGTGCATAAGCATTAGGTCTGCCAAGAATTTGGTTGTCACCATGTTCACGTGTATTGAACATGTAAAATTTTGGAGTTATGAAATATGGTTGAAGAAGATATATATTCTATCTATTATATATTATATAAAGCGTACACTTGAGTTGATGTGAATGCTGTCATGTTTTTAATACCCCTTCCCACCCAGTAACTGACACCCATTCCCACCCAGTAATTATCACATCCAATAACTATTAGAATAATTTTTCTCCTACATCAAATTGTCCGAAACGCTAATCATTTTCCTCTATCATCAAACTATCCAAAATACATTAGCACCACCATTAGTAATATATATACATACATACATCTATATATGCATAGAGTTACGTCTACATAAATGATATGCATTTGGTTGTTCTAGTACTCTGGAACATCTACATTCATGAAATATTCCACATTGCTTATTCTTTTGATAGTTATGACTACAGTCATTGCCTATCACTCCCCCCCCAAAAAAATAAAATAAATAAATAAATAAAAAAAATAAAATACATGAATCAGTTTTAAAAAATTGTTACTAATTTATTGACCTATGTTTTATAGGGAAAGTGGGTGCCATCCTTGCTTCTATTCCACAAGCATTGGCTGCTGCCATTCTTTGCTTTATTTGGGCTCTGATTGTGGCATTGGGTCTCTCAACGCTGCAGTATTGTCAAACAGGGAGTTTTCGAAACATGACAATAGTTGGTGTTTCACTCTTCCTTGGTTTGTCCATTCCCGCATATTTTCAACAATATCAACCTGACACCAGCATGATCCTTCCCAGCTATTTTGTTCCTTACGCAGCAGCATCAAATGGACCAATCAACATTGGCAGTAAACAAGTAAGTTATTGTTATTATTATTATTATTTTTTTTTTCTTCTTTGTTTATTTTGTAGGGGGATGGGTTACCCATTGTTGAGAATATAATGTAGACATAAATAATAAAGTTGTTCCTCTCTTTGACAGTTTAAATTTGTAGATAAGTTGGTGGTCAACATTTCTAATATGCTATAAGCTTTTGGATGATTTGGTGGTTAGCAATTCAAAATGGTATCAGAGCAGGCAAATAGATCATGTGTTCGACCCTCACCGAATACTAATAATTATGGAGAACCTGGTCACACGTGAAGGAGCGTGTTGAGAATATAATATAAACAGAAATAATAAAGTTGCTCCTGTCTCTAACAGTTTAAGCTTTTAGATGAGTTGGTGGTCAACAATCTAATACTCGTGACAGTTGTTGGTCTGTTTTCATGGTTTGATTAATGAATGATTAATAGCTCAAACTTCATTGCTTTTGAGTGAGACCGCTGCTAAAAATAAAAATGAGGCTATTTCTTGAAATAAACTAGATGATTGTTTTTCTTCACAACACATGTTCACCACATTGGTGGCAAGCTCTCAACTCAATCACCCGGTTCTCTTTGATCTTCGGCTTGCAAACAAGGACTTCATCACAACAATGGGTGATAGAAGAAAGAGAAATCTCATAATTTTCTTGTCCAGTCTCAGTTTCCAAGAAAGGCCTCACAAAATGGCAACCAAATTGCAATTCATTTATGCTAATGGAAGAAGTGAAAGAAAAACCATTGACGAAAATTATTGTAAAGATGCTTTTTAACTAAACATGTCATTATGCAAATATTACTGGACGGAGCATACATGTATCTGTGTTTATGATGAGTTCAGCCCTTTATTTCATTATTCGTATCCATACCTTCTTGTTTTTCCATTTCTTTCATGATTAGTAAAAACTGACCTCTCACTTCTTTCCGGATGAGTACCAGCTTGATTTTGCAATGAACGGACTTCTGTCATTGAACATGGTGGTGACACTATTGGTGGCATTTGTACTAGACAACACCGTCCCAGGTAGCCGGCAAGAACGGGGGGTGTACATTTGGTCGAGTGCTGAGGACATATCCATGGATCCATCGTTGCTTTCAGATTATAGTTTGCCAAAACGAGTCGCTCGTTTTTTCCAGTGGGCAAGATGTTTAAGCTAATGACATTTGGATAGAGCTGCTGATGCATGAAAGATTTGAGGATTTGCTTTGTTTAGAGGCCCCACTGGGTTGTGGCACGGTAACTTGGAAGCAGTGCAGCTCAATTTAGCTGATAGATACATATAGATGATATTCTTATTATTACAATTTTTTATTTTGTTTATTTTGGTTTTGTTAATAAATTTGATGAATCATTATATATGCTGTCATTGTCATTTGTAAGTGAAACAAAACATGGGTGATCCCAAATTGTATCAATATTCATTGCATCCTTAACAGGAAAGATAGGTTGGTGTTTTTGAATTTCTACTTGGGAAAATTACATTAACAGTCTTTTATGGGTTGGGACTTGTGTCATTTTAGTCTATAGTTTTTTAATTGTGACACATAACTTTGAATTTTGAATCTTGTTTTAAATAAGGACAATTGAAGATATCATTGTTTAATTTTAAGGGCAAAGTCGTCAATTTAATAAAATATAAATTAATTTGACAAAAATAAATGTCAAAAAAATATTTTTAATTTTTTAAAAATTATTTCAATCTATTAAAGATAAAATTGATCAAAATTAATAAAAATTACATGATTAATTTTTAAAAATTAATTTTACATGATCATCATCTAAACACATAATAAAAATTAATTTAGTAAAAAAACAAATAAATTCTAAAAGATTTATCAAATTTATATAATTTTATCTTTAGTGAATAAAAAATAATTTTTAAAAAATAAAAAATATTTTTTTGACATTTATTGTTGTCAAATTAATTTATATTTTATCAAATTGATGATTTTACCTTTGAAAAATCTAATGATATCTTCAATTGTCTTTATTTAGAATAAAATTTAAAATTTAAGGTCAAATATGTTACAATTAAAAAATCAAAAATTAAAATAAGACAAATCCTGACTATTAATGGAACTCACCCTTTCTACTTCGATCAATTGTTAGGTATGCTGTCATTCCAACTTTTCTGTCTCATATGCATGGGACTTGATGTTTACAATCTTTAATTGAAGTTTTACAATTATTCAAAAGGGAATGGATTCTCTGAGTTTGGGCATCCAACTGGAGAGGTCCTTTTAGGCCTATCTATAGTCTCCAATCGTTCATCTTATAACATCTCATAAAACAAAGTATCCAAGTGAAAAATGAAGATGATTAAATCTTTGTTCAGGTCACATTTGTATTTAAAAATAATAATAATAATAGATAGTTTATTTTCAAAATTACATTTGTTATGTATTTATTTTTAAGACAGATATGATTCGATCATGTAATTATTGATTTTTGATCAATTTTATTTTTTTTTATATGAATGTCTACTCAACGAATTTTACCAGATGTATAGTTTAGCCTACCAAGGTGGACTTATCGAGCCTAACTCTCCTATTCGAATTAGGTCTCCAATGGGAGAGAATCCATTTCCTATTCAAAAATTTCTCCAAAAATATAAGGAAAAAAATAGAATTAAATACACAAGCAGCCTCAACTATTTGTTAATATTATTTCTCAATTCAATTTGAAAATCATATATTTAGACATATTGATTATAAAATTAAAAAAAAAAATCAAACAAATGCTTCTTTTTCTAAGAGATTCAATTTTGTTAGTGACGTGTCTCAATATATGATTTTGAATTTAAGAAGTAAAAATGATAACAGTGGAGGGAGGGATGTTCATGTATTTAACTCTAAAATAAAAGTGTAGAAATTCCATCAAGAAAGTTATTATACATAATTTTTTTACCACACATTTGACCAGGGGTTAAGAAAACCTATTGAACCGATTCAACTGCTCTGAGACTTTTGGTCAATTTATTTTAGTTTTGAAAATTTTACATTTAATTGATTAAAATATTGTATTTAAAAAAAAAAATTCTTTTAAATTTTAATATTTTGAACATTAGAAGATAAATAATTAATGTTTTTATTTGTTTTGCAACGAAAGTTAGGAATGGTAGAACAATTCCTATCATTTTTCTGAATTTATTTTCAAGTATTTTTAAGATCTTGTTTGAATCCCATCTTTACATTAAATCATAAACTTACAAAAACCAAACCATAGCATATGTTCGGTTTCAGTTTCTCAACCCACAAAACTAATGCTGTGTTTGGTTGGGGGATTTGGAGAGGGATTTGGAAACGAAAATGGAAAAGATTAGTGAAATGTGAATAAAACATGTCTATATTTCACATAATTTCACACACCTTTTCCTTTTCCCTTTCCAAGTCCCTCCCTAAATCCTCAAGCCAAACACAGTATAAATGATTCGATGCAATTCGAAACTAAAATTTTCCCAACCACCGGCCAAATTGAACTGAACTGATTACACCATACATTTGACATGTAGCTTAAAAGTTGGCATTTCAAGAAGTTAGCGCAGCAAAAGGATAGATGTTAAAACTATAGTAACTAAGTACACTACTAGAAAACAGGGCTTTTGAGTCGGTAGCGTGCCGTCGCAAATAGCGTATTTGCAGATGCAAAAACTTTTTGCGACGGCGTTTCGACGGCAACTCAAGGGACGAAAATGGTGGGGTTGCAAAAAGTTTTTGAGTCGGTAGATTGTCGACTCAAAAAGTGGTTAAATGTTTTAAAAAATTTAATCCATAATTTTCTCATTGAGGCTCCCAAGTTTCAAACACACTCCATTTGGACGATTTAACATGAAGTCATCGCACTAAGTCCACTTCACCACCATACCTCTTTTAAATATTAAATGACATATATATTATTTATAGTATATACACTCAATATTAATATAAAAGTATATGTAGAAATAAATATATTTATTAAATATAATCAAGTAAATATATATATATCTTGGCTATAAAAATTTTTTTTTGCTACGGCGTCAGTTGCCGACACAAAAAGGTATAATTTTTTGCGTCGGCACAAATTTGCCGACGCAAAAGGTCTATGCTGACTCAAAAGGTCTATCTTTTGTGTCAGTAAATTGAACCGACTCAAGTAATGCTATCAAATATTAATTTTTTGTGTTGGCCAACGGTGCCGACTCTAAAGGTTTGGTATTTGAGTCGATAACTCTGTGCCGTCTCAAAAAGGCTACCTTTTGCGACGGTAAAATTTGCCGACTCAAAAAACCAACTCAAAAGGCCCTTTCTTTAGTAGTGGTATAAACACACAAGTTCCACTGGATAACACAAAATGGGAATGATTTTCTTTAGATTATGTAATAAAAGAATTACAGAGGTTGTTGTGATATATTGTGATTTTTAAAAATACATGAAGCTTTATTATTATGTGTTTAAGGAAAGGGGAATGGATCTCTTATTATGCCAGTCTTGGATTAAGGAACGGAGGGTGTGATTAGGGGTTAGTATTTTATGCTTAAGCTTTAAATTTGTCATGGGCGATGTGTCGTGCCCCATCCTTAGCCATTCTTCGATCGCTTCTTGCTCGTATGAAAATCCATCGGCCGCCAACAGTGGATTTTTCATCACATCCTGCACTCAATAATCCAACATCAACTACCAACTATTATAAAATATATGGTCAGGAACTGAAAAATTAGTAACAAAAGAATTCTCCCATTTTATTTTTGGGTTACTTAGTGGTAAATCCAATATAAGGAGGAGGGTACAAGGTATTAGGTCAAAGGGATTTTTTCTTTTTTTTTTTTTTTGCTAATGGGAGGTCCATGCTTTGTGCAATATTTTGGTGAGAAATTCAGGAGAATATTTTGTTTTTAATTTTATCCTTGGACTTTTTTTATCTGTTTGACTTTTCATTGACTATCTGTTAAAATTATTTTTATCTGTTGAAATTCCTATCTGTTCAAATTTTTTATTATTGAAATTTCTATCTGTTCAAATTTTTTTATTTGTTCAAATTGTTTATCTGTTGAAATTCTTATATGTTGAAATTTTTTTATTTGTTGAAATTTTCTTTTTTTATCTGTTCAAACAGCAGATCATCAGCAAAGAAACCTTTCACTTTCGGATTCAGATCTAGCTAATTGCTCATCAGAGACCTCCATTGAAGACTTGGTGTTCTCATTGAAATCATCAGATTAATAAACAATGGATCCAAAACCATAGAAATTTGAAATAAGAAAGATTGAAGAGGAAAAAGATGCAAACACACTGATCTGTTGATCAACAATTGAACAGATGCAAACATACTGATCTGCTGATCAACAAATAATCCCTCTCTCTCTCTAATCTTTCACAGACACGCTTCAACCTTTTCACAACAATTCAAGCTTATCGAATCCTTTTCCGAACAATCCATTTTCAATTTCTAACCACAACTCTCTCTCTATATATATGTGTGTGTGTGTGTGTGTGTGTAAAGATGTGCAATTTGAGGCTTTAATAATAATCTTGTAGAGTTCTTGAATCAATATAGTTTTCTTTGTTGTTTTAGATATATAGCTCGATTTGTGTATGCCTTGTGGTTTGGATTTTGAATATAGAACATGAACTGCGAGTTAGCTTTCACATTACAGACTCAGTATGAGTTCGGTGGTTCGCTAGGTTGAACTCGAGCGTCGAAGGTTTACACTTGGAGTGTGGATTTGAATCGAGTTTGGGAAGATGGAAGCAATAAAAGGTTCAAGGGTTCTGAAGTAAAAAAGTCGGATTCGAATGGTGAGATTGATGGATGTCAATCTTGAGATCAAAATCAAGAGACAATTTTGTGACGGTAGAGGAGATCGGCGACTGCAGAGACGAAGGCACTAGTGCGAAGGGGAGAGAGACAACTAGTCCAGATCAACGAACGGAGGTGTGGTGTTGGCAGCTCCTCTGAGTTTTGCAACAGAGGTGTGGTGTCGTCGATGGTTGTCATAAGTAGAGAGAAAGAGAGAGAGAGAGAGGATGTCTAAAAACCACTACCGTGATAGAGGGAGGGAATGCGAAAGGAAGCGACGGAGGCGGTAATGGAGCGGCCGTGAGAAAGGGATGGGAGGCGAGCAGTGAAGGCGAGTGGTAGCGGCAGCGACTTTGTCACAATAGTTAAGTAGAGATAGAGAGGGGAGGCTAAAAAAGGGAAAATTTTTTAAGGTCTCTGACATTAAGATTTTATAAGATAAAAGATATACAATATTTTCATAGTAGTTAAGATTCCTTAATATTTTTATAGAGAAAATTAAACTTAAAGAAATTTCGTCTGACTCAAAAAAATTTTAACCCCAACACAAAGAAATTTCAATTTTTACAGAGAAATTTTAAAATTTCTTTGATATGAAATTTTAAAATTTTTCTAGTATGATCACAGAGAAATTTCAACGAGAGACCTTAGCTAATTAAAAAAATATCTTGGTCCTCTCCTACTACACAAAGCTGGAAAGAGATATTTCACTAATTTCCCAGCTGAAAAATAGAGTTTATGAATGATCGTATAACATACATATATATATATATATATGGATAGTTTGGTCTTTTTACACTAATTTGTCCTTATAGACAAAGTGTTTTAGCAACTAAACCTATGGACAAAAAAAATTCAAATTTAAAGTTTTAGCCTAAGCACCCTTTATTTTTTTGAAAATTTCCCAATTTATTCCCCCATTTTCATCAGACAAATGAATCCCTAAAATATCAATAATTTTAGATTTTCCCCCCAAATCTTCTAAATGGTTCTTTACAGACTTTCTAAATTTTTTGAATTATTTTAGATAATCATTGAATAATAACTCATTCTTTTTATATGTTTTTCAATACACATTTATAATTTTATTTTATTTTATTTAAATAATTCTTAAATTCTTCCCCAAACTATTATTATCAATATTCTTCTTAATAACTCCCTCACATGAATTATTTCAGTGCCAAATAATTTTCGATTTTCCTAAATTTGTTACTATGCTAAAGATCCTATGCTAGTTGCCCAAGTTAAGCCTCACCTTTTGTTGACTATAAATAAAGAACAGTTTTATTATGAACACATAAATTAAATACAAAATAGAATACAAAATACATATGAATAAATAAGATTTTATAAAATTTATTAGAAAAACTCTTGTAAAATCTTGTTTATTCAAAAACATTATGTATCCGATTTTGTAACCAGTTCCTAAACTTATTCATAAAAAGAATAGAAATGGGAGATTAGATGCCAACCTGAAATATAGGGCAGAGAAACACACTTGGTACATCAGTTGAGTCTTCTATATTGGCACCTCCTCCTCCTTCAATGGCCACCACACCTTCTCCGTTTGCCGACACTAAATCATCAGCCTTTTTCCTCACCTTTTCAATCTCTCTCATCACCATCGCCATCGACAACTCCGTGTCCAGCCCTTTGTTAGCAGACAAACATCTCATTGCTATCTTGGCAAGTTCCACAGCTAAATCCAGTGGCCATTCTCCAGCCAAGTCATCCAAAACCTCAGAAAGAGCTGCTCGGTCAATCAATATTTCCTCTTCAACAAGCCCGGCCCAATTCCTCCCGGTTAGAAGTTGCAACACTAGATTCCCAAAAGCCTTCATATCTGACTGAACCTCAACTTCACCATGACACCAACTGAGCCTAAGCCCATGGATTTTTGCAACAAGGTTTCGATCCAGGAGGATTTTGGAGGGGTTGAGGTTTCCGTGTGAAATGGACCTGGGCTGGGCCGAGTGAAGGAAGCCCAGGGCCGAGCAAACTTGGGCTGCAACACGTACTCGAGTATGCCAATTGAGACTCCGGTTTCTCCTTCTAGAGCTCCTGCTGACTGAGAACAATACATCCCTTAGGCAGCCATTTGACATGTATTCGAATGCAATGCATCTTAGCTCTGAGCAATAGCCGATCATGGCGACAATATGCGGATGTCGCATTTGGCTAAGGAGCTTCACCTGCATAAAAATCCATATAAAACTCATTTAAATGAGCACGAAAAACCAGTTAGTAGGTGGTTTTAATCAAATAGTGCAATGGTGAATACAGTGATACCAACACTGCATTCTGTGCACTTTTTAGTAAAAATTTGCATTACCTTAGCCTCGAATGCTTCTTGAGACAGTCCATTGACAGAGTTATACGCTTTGATTGCTACTATTATATGGTTGATCCGACCTCGATACACATTAGTCCAATCACCTGCTGATTTCAACCTCAAACGCTCTGAGAAATCATCCGTGGCAGCTCTAATCTCATCAGCCGTGAACTCTCTACAGACATTGAATCCCAATTCACCCAACCTCGTAGCCATACCTATTGCATCCTTTTCCCTACAGAACTCAATTCTACGTTGCAAAACATCTCTCTTTGCCGCCTCAACTCCTCAATCTCACGAACCATCTCTGCTCTGGCAGTCACCGCCTTCTCTAGTTGTGCTTCAGCACGTGTTTTGGCAAGAGAAGACAGTTGGAGTTTGTTGGAGAGTTCGCGTTGGAGTTCCAGCATTGACTTGAGCTTACTCTTCTTGTCCTCAACTTCAGTCCCAATTTCACATACTTCTTCTTTTGTAGTGTCTAGCTCTTTCTTTAGATCAGTTCTCGTGTCAATCTCTTCATTTATTTGAGCTTCAATCTCTTCTGCCTACAAAACCAACATCGGTTTCGTTCATATGATTACATTTTCTTACCTTGTTAAGAATTGAATCGAAATGCTAAATTTTTATGAGATTATTATTACCCGGCGTGTGCATAAGCAAATAGCCCATTCAGCTCTAGCATGTCTTTCAACATTGGCCTTAGCTTCTTTTCTCTTCAACTGGATCACATTTTGGGCGCTTGTAATTTTAATCTTCAGCCTTTCAATTTTGTCTGCATCACTCTGATAAGTGGGTGTGTTTAAGCAGAGTAACAACAGTAACTTTGGCTAGTTGTTATTTAAGGCACAAAAAAGGGTAATTTTCAGAGTTGGAAATTTGGTTACTAATGAGCTTACGGTGGGATCATGTTGCGCCTTGTCTAATTTGTGTCGTTTAATATATGATTTCTGTTCGAATCATCTCAATACTAACTTTTTTTTTTTTTTGAAAGGCATCTCAATACTAACTTGATATGTTTAACGAATTGTTTCAACTATCCTAACACTAACTCGATCACAATCTATTTATAATTGTGTAAACCTGAATATGAAATGAATAACGCAATTTATATGTTTAACATATAATAAAGACTTCAATCAATGGTTTTGATTAAATTAAGGGAAAAATATATTAAAATAACATATAAGAAATAGGAATTGACATTAGTGCATTTGAGCAAATGTATTGAGAGAAATATAATAATATTGGATAGAATGAGGTTAGTATTAATAAAACAATTAGATTAAATTGGTTAATTGTGTCAAATTTAGTGTTACACAAGTTTGAATTTTGGATTTATCGAATTGTGTCAATTTTGTGTTCATGTTGAGGACTAGTCGATCCTAACCCGCCAAATTCGTGTCCAATTAGTGTTGTGTCGGCAATTCCTACCCTTATAAATTAGCCCAGTTTCAGAAAATGAAGGATGCAAATAAGAACAAGATATGAACTCCCCCACATTTTCTTCTTTTTTGTTTTTTGTTATTTGGCAGATAGGATTGGCAATGCATTTGGCAGCCTTGCATCCAAACAGGCCAAATGTAGCATTCTATCATTATCATATGCCACTCAAGTCAAAAAAAAATTGGATAAAAAAAAGAAAAAGAAAAAAAAAGAATGCAAATTCATTGGGAGAAGCAATCTAAGTGGACTTGTTGAACAAAAGCATCATTAGTTACCTAACAACTCTAAAATTTAGCAAGACTGTTTGTGGCCACACAATTCAAAACAATATCCATATAATAGCAAAACTTACCACAATTTCAGGAATATCTTTCTCTGGCTCTCTTTGACTATTCCGCAAGGTGTCATTCTCTACCTCTAACCCTTCTTCATCAGAATTTGAAGACAACAATTGATTGAAGTAACTTTCAATCTCTTGCACACAATTTTCCCATTGATCTGAGAAACCATTTCTTGTTGAAGATGAAACTGGTGATGGGCTACCGTGAAATTTCTCATTATTTCCATTTTCATTCAACTTTTTCCCTAACCAACCTCTGAAACTACCCTTTTCTTTAAACTTAGCAACGATGACTCCTTGATCATCCTCTATAAATCCTTCATTATTGTCTTCCCTTAGAAAAAGCAATTTCCCTCCACACACAATGAACAACTCACAAAACTCAGGTTTGTGCCGGTGAACATAAAAGGATCCACTGATTGCGCCGCGAGATTTCCTAAACAATTATTAAAAATTAAAAACCATAGTCCAATAAAAGAATTGATATGAATTATTAAGAGATGAGAAATATGTGTGTTACCATGATGAGGACTTCATGAATGTAAACCCCACGACCAATTTGGTTATCCGAATCCCCGATATCAATTCCACTAAGAGCTTATGGAGAGGCTCATCATGTTTCTCAATTTTCAAAACTTCAACTTTAATCTGTGGAAATATGAGAGACATTTAACTTTTTTTTTTTGCAAGTATTATAAATAGATGTAGCAATTAAAGAAGAACTCAGAACACACACACACCTTGCCACATAAAGCTTTGTACTCAGATAGAAAGTTATCATTTTCCCCTTCTTTGATCTTCCTAAGAACTTCCAATTTCTCATCACTCACATAGCTTGCAGGGAGTTTTCCAACTGCAACACACAAATGAAACTCCTCATGAGCAAATGAACACTTTTAAGAAATTTAAGGAATTAAATGATATATGAGTATGACTTACATGGTGTGTAAACAAAATCTTTCGATTTGTTGTTATCAGCATGGAGAATTACTATGGAGACTGATTGGGAAGACCACTTTCTAAGTGCCCATTCAAGGGTTGCATACCCTTCTTTCTGATCAGTCCCAATGGCAACATAAACCTTCTCTGTTTGACTGGTACCCATTACCTAAAGCTGGAACCACTAGCTAGCTCACATCCCCCTATCACAAACCTTAAATTTTCCCGGAAAATTTGTGAGAAAGATGAATCTTAGGCCAGACCCAGCACCCCAAAGTGACTCAAAAGTCAACCTTTGTTGAGCTAAGTAAAAAACCTTAAACCTTGAATTCGGGTGTTATTTAAAGAATGAAGTGTGAAAAAGCTTGTAAACTGGGTTGAATTTGTTAAACGGGTGGTTTGTCAAAAAAGGACTGTTAAAGTGCTGTTTGCCTGTGAGGTTTTTTCAAAAGTGGGACAGCGAAGGACTGTTTGGCTTTATTTGTTTGTTTATGCATTAGGATTTGGACGGCCAAGTTTTGGACTTTTTTATATAAGGCTGAGCGGTGATGCCAAGGCAAGTTAGCTAGCTGGATCCTTCTTTACCACTGGTTTCAAGTGATTTGATTTGTTGGTTTGAATTTTCTTTGGTATTTTCTTTCTTGAATGTTTCTTTCAAGCCTTGCTCGTTTAAATGTTAATTGAGATAGGATGGCGCAACGTCCTATGAATTTAGATACCTGGATCAACCCAGTATATACCTTTCTCTTGGGTGGACTCTGTCAGACAGAGACACCTTGTTTTGTTTTGGACAATTGCAACTGTGTGCATAAACTGAATGTTTTCTGTGTGGCCAAGTAGAAAAGAAAAGAATAACCAAAAAAAAAAAAAAAAAAGATTGGCGAGAAAAGAAAAGAAGGGAGCCTCAGACTGGTATCACTCTTCCATGTTAGAATAATAAATTAATTATTTAAAAATCTTATTTATAAATGTTATGATAGTTTAGGTTTTATTTAAAAAAATTTGAACCAATAAGTCTTATCTAGTAAAATTGAGAATATTATCAATTTTTTTTTTTAATTTTTAAAATTAAGAACATTATTAATTTTGCATAGTAATGTTCCAGATAATTGTTTCACTAATTGAGGGAAAAAAAACGTGAGATTAAACGTTTTTGTCTTTCTACCTATTAGTTTGATTAAACTATCTAATAAAACCGAGAACATTATTAATTTTTTCTAGTTTTAAACTGAGAACTTTATCAATTTTTTTCATTTTTAAAGGTTTTTTTTTTTTTTTTTTTAAATTTTGCACATCAATGTTCCATTATCATGCTCCTTTATAGATATAAAATTTTCAATTTTGCACAAAAAAAATATTCAGTTTTTTTAATTTTTTCAAAAAAAAATTAGTTTTTTTTTTTCACACATAATTTTTCTCAAATTTTTTCGATTTGAAAGTTTATGTTTCAAAGTTTTGAAAATCAAAATAAATGTCAAATCATCAAATTCATTTATAGATAATCATAAATGATGAATAATCTCTCTTTGAAGGGTAATTCCGAATATTAAAAATTTAATGAGATTTGAAAATTTAAAAAATTTTAGTTAGAATTTAATGGAATATAAGTTCATAAATTATGATTTGTGTGTAAATGTACCTGAATAATTTATGAGAGAAGTGAAAAGAACTGAGTGAATTATTTTCTTCTTTTGTTTGAGAAAGATATATAAAATAAAGTTTTATACAGAAGTAATATATGCACCTAATTAAGTTTTTTATTAGTATTATAGAAATTATGTATTTTTGTAACAAATATTACATAATTTTTTTATTAAATTATGAGAATTTGTTGTTCAAAAATAAAATATGTATTTTGTAGTAATATTATGCATTTTTGTGATAGTGTTATATATATTTTCATCAAAATACTTTTTAACTGCAAAATATTTAACACTCACAAAAATGCATAATATTATTAGAAAATGTGCAACTTCATTGTTGAACAAGAAATTGTTGTAACTCTACCAAGAAATTAGGTGACAATATTGTCACAAAAATACTTAACATATATTAAAAAATGCATAGCAATGTGCATAGAGTACACTCTAAAGTTGTATTTGGTTCAAAAATTTGGAGAGGGATTGGGAAAGAAAAAAGGTAGGTAAAATATAAATAATATATATATATATATATATATCATCTAATTTCACACACAATTTTTCTTTTCCTTTTCAAATCCCTTCCTAAATTCATAAACCAAACACATATCAAGAATTACAAAATGAAAACTACTAACTTAGTTTTCTTTATTTTCAAATTTATTAAATTTTAAAGAGATTAATAATAATAAAAAAAAGGATTTGGTAATGAAAAAAATATGTGAAATGAGAATCCGATTCATTTGAATAAAGAAGGAATAAGCGTAGTAGAACTTTGGATTACTTAAACAGCAAAATGACAAGAAAAGTCAAGTTTGATCAAGGAAGTGATATTGTGTTTCAATGTGTATATGTTATGTGTTTATGTAGGTCACGAGCTATCGTCTGTCTACTCTGTCTAATTTGCTTGCTCTTCACCGACACCACTGCCACTCTCCACCGACGCTACCACCGCTCACTATGGAACTTTTTCTCTACCATCTTCATCTCCACCGTCACTCATTGCATCCACAACTTTAGATCTAAGATCATTAACAATCGTTGTTGCCAGAAAATAACCATTCACTACGATTCACGAACCTCAAATCTGAGATCATTTACTCTCTCTCTCTCTGTCTCTGTCTCTCCCTCTCCCTCTCTCTCTCTCTCTCTCTCTTCTTCTTCTTCTTTTCCTTCTCATGATGCTCGTTTTTTAACTATGTCTCCATATCTCTCTCTTCTTCTTATGATACTTTGTTTTTCGAACAGTAAAATTTTATTCTAATTCATGACACAACCCTCTCCTGTAAATCCATCCTCGCAATGTATTTTAGAGTACATTTTTACTGTCTTTATGCAGATCAGCATGTTGTTAACCAAAGTAAAATTTTATTATTACAAAAAACAAAGAACGTACTAAATGAATGAATTATAGTCAAATTTTACTTTTAGATATATGAACAAACAAACAAACAAAAATTTCTTAATTTTTTTATTGTAATATCTTGATTTCTCATTTTTCTATCAAATTTAAGTTCATTTATCTTAGATCTAAAGTTCTTGATTTCAAATCTGAGTTCGTAGGTATCAAATTTGATATGGTGGTGGTTGACGGTAAAAATGGTAGTCGTTGACCAACGGTAAGGATGAGTAACACTAACAAACAATGATGATGCTGGAGGCGATAAACAACTATCGAGGTGGTGACGACGGTAAGGATAAGCAACGCTGACAAACAATGATGATGCTGGAGGCAATGAACAACTATCGAGTTGGTAGAGAGAGAGAGAGAGAGAGAGAGAGAGAAAGAGAGAGAATACTGTAAAAGAAAGAGAAAAAAGAGAGGGCGTAATGATCAACTAAACTATTCAAATAATAAATTTTGTCATTCATACAGGACTTTATAATTATGAGAGGATTTTAAAAATGCCTTTTTTTTTTTGTCCTTTTAATAAGAAAAGAAAGTTAGGAGGGGCTTATGATCAAATTTCCAATTAAAGGATATAAGAAAAAATTATTTCCAACTAAAGTTGTTAGTCTTCTATTGGCTTAGTTTGCTTAGAATGAAATAGGTCAAAAATAAAGAAAAGAAGAAAAAAAAAATTTAATTCTATGAATTTGTTTAGCTTTAGCTTGAAAGTGGTGGAATGTATAAGAAAATTAATTTTCTTGTACAACTCATATTAGCATGGGAAATTTAGCTATAAACCCCTTTTACATTCCTTTCATTGTTAAAAGGACTAAGAAAAAAATTATACTTTCTAAACCCTCTCATAATTATAAAGTCTTGCATAAAGGACAAAATTTATTATTTAAATATTTTATAGGACTATTATACCCTCAACTTCTGTATATATAATCAGCTTCGTCATCAACTGTATCATAATCACCATAGTTGCATCTTCCAAGCTTCAGCAGAAGGTCGTCGACAAGCCGCCGCCATAGTCGCGTCTTCCAAGCTTCAGCAGAAGGTCCTCTCTTCATCTTCATAATCAGCAACGATGTGGCTTTGAGTATGTTGAAATTGAATGAGGATGTCGTTGGAGATTCGAAAGCTAGGGTTTCGGAGCAGATGGAGATTTGGAGTGCGGTGGAGATGGCTCAATTGGAAGCGGAGAAGAAACATGATGAGGTTGTTGATGAGATGCTGGCGATGTTGAATGCGAAGGCTGAAGCTTCGAGATTGAAAGAAGTTGAACAGGAGGTTGGGAAGGATGTGGATGAGGAACAGTAGAATATATGTATATATATACATTTGTGTGTATGAGTGTTGTTGAACACATGTATTCTTTTTCAATGTGTGATTGTTGATCGAGTTTTAGAAATTTTTCGTTTCGATTAAATATGTGGATTTGTTGATTAATTTGTTTTGTTTTTGTTTGTTTGTTTGTTTTTTATTTATTTTTGTTGTTTTTTTATCTAATTTCATTTGACAGAACCAGAGTAAAATTTTACTCGGGTTCTATTGCTCTATTTTTTTCATTTAACAGAACCAGAGTAAAATTTTACTTTTATACAGAGTAAAATTTTACTTTTGTGTAGAGTCTAACATTTTACTCATTTTTCAGAGTAAAATTTTACTTTTATACAGAGTAAAATTTTACTTTTAGTTTCAGAGTGTAACATTTTACTCTTATTCAGAGTAAAATTTTACTCTTATTCAGAGTAAGATTTTACTCTGAAATATATAGTGAAGATGACTTAATAGGGGAGCTGATAGATATGAAGGTAATATAGTAAAAAAAACAAGTTTTAAAATATTAGGGGGTTTTGAAAGTATTTATATAATTCTTGTCCTTTTGAAAGACAAATTAGATAGTGAGGGGGCTATCACCAAATCCCCCTATTAGCATTATAACTAATTTTTTTATTTCTTACAAAAAACATAAGAAAATACAAGAAAAATTGAATGTGTGAGTTATCTATAACTAAATTTTTTTATATTTTCTTACAAAATTTTCATCTTAATCAAATGCTTGAAAGAAATTTTTTTTTTTTGCCATTTCTTTTCTTTCACTTCATTTTCTTTTACCTTCACATTTTATCAAATTTTTTTCCTAATCAAACGAGGATATTTAAACAAGGAATTTAAAATGTGATTCTTTTCTTTTATTTTCTTTTCTTTTTCTTTCGAAATCACGCGCTATTCAAACGGGTCAATAGCACAATAGTCTATTGATGAACGTGTACTATGTGACAAAATGAACAACCAAATATGGATATGTTCATATTTGTTGAACATCATCTAATTGAAAAAAAATAAACCAAAACTCAACGCATTCCACGTTATTGTTGACTTTTTTTTTAAGATTGGTATGTTATTTTTGACTTTAAAACCAAGAATACGCGTAACACATGTTTTATAATTGATACTTTATTTAGGAGTTAAGGTTGA